AGAACCATTCTTGGCCTTTATCAACATTATTTGATACAAGTACACTGAAACACATGGATTACACCCAAGAGTCTCAAAGAAATCTATTTTCTACCATCGTAGGAATCTCTGCCAAAAGTAATCTTTTATCAGTTCATCCTTTTAATATAATTATAGCACTCCGAAACATCTCCCGACTACACATGATTTTTCGTCTCTTCCACTTTCTTCTATTTCTGAAATTGTATTATTGCTTCATTTGTCCCGTCTATTGCCACCCCTCTCTCCCCCCCCCCCCTCTCTCTCTCTCTCTCTCTCTCTTCTCTCTCTCTCTCTCTCTCTCTCTCTCTCTCTTTCGAGCATGCTGTATGGCGGTCATATATCACAGGAAACTCTCTGGGTAGTAGTAGTTCTCTCACTCAAGTTCACGACCTGTGACGTAAACGACCTCCCACCAACTCTGACTTCTACATTATGTAGAGCAAATCTCATTGACGCTCAAGAGCATCTCATATCACATCGCCCTGTAATAAAGATAGTCGTGTAGAGGATTGGGTACCGTGATGTGCGGAGTTGTGGAGGTAGTATGACGTCAGATAAGCCTATGGCGAATTAAGGAGGGGGGGGGGGCGGTACAAGTAAAAAAAAAAAAAGACCCTGCAGAAATTCTGATGACTTTTGTGTGTGGAGGTGTCGTGGTATAGTATGCAAATAATGCACTGTTGCGAGTGTGTTTAGGGCAGGGCCAGTGCACGAAGTTTAGTCAGTGCCTATAGTAATAATGCACGCGCCCGCAGGGAAAGTGCATTATCGATATCGCACTGACTACCTTAGTGGAATGGAACTGCCCTAACACATGAACGAAACAGTACATCAATTTTGTTTCACAAGACGGGTCGGCAAAACATTCATACAATAAAGTCTAGATCTAAAGTATAGATAGATATTATATCTAGATCTAGGTCTAGAATATTCTAACGCTAGATCTAGATAATTATGCACAAATACAATTTGGCTGAATTACGCTTAAGCGAAATCGGTAGATATTGAGCATGGGTTATCAATTTTTGATGGAGATGTTTTGCACGGTGGGGAACAAAATTATGCACGCCCACATGATGTCAATTGACCAATCGGATTGCTTATATTCTAGAACCCGTCTTGGTTCATACACTTGACACTCAGGGTTGAAGGTTCGAGTCCCGGCCTGGTACTAATACCATTTGGCATTAATTCACATTTGCCATTCTTCACGCGTAAATGAGTACCTTGTAACTGCTGGGTAATAATAATTACAGGGCCCTCAGTCACTAAGAGTATAAATAAATTAAATGATGCTGATGAAGGCTTCATCGGGTCAAAATGTCTTCTTCTTCGCATTGACTTCGTATGTCAATGCCTTGTTTCCGTTCTTTTTTTTCTTCTTGACCTTTCCCCCCAAATTCAATTCGTTTTGCACGCAGTACTATTCCGATCCCTCCTGTATGAAAGGCCGTTTGGGCCAAGCACGCGCCATGACGTGTTCTTCTGTCGACTATATTTAATTCGTTTTGCAAGCATTGCTTGTTAACATTTTAAAACTCTCTTTTATTCCGATTGTTTCGAAACTCCATAGTCGTCAACATCCTATCGTGCTCACTGATCTTGTCATTTTCCAAAACCACTCATGCATGACCGTCCATGCGAATTTTTGACCGTTCTGGATCCGTTCTCATGATTTTCTATCTGCCTTCCTGTCTCCTAGCTTCTAACAAACTGTTGTAGATAGTCCAAAAGTTGCTTTTTTATCTGTTATGTAGAATAAACGGGCGTCAATGCACACATATCGTTTTATTACGATAGTAGTTCTTCTTCTTCTTCTTCTAATTGATATTGCCACATAAGTTACCTCTACAGCAACGTTGGCCCTTTTCAGCTTTGTAAAGACTGCCATTTCAAGATGATCTTTTTTATTAAAATTGAGATGTCTCTCTAGGTCTAGAAAAGTCATCCAAAACCGAGCAAGAAATAAATATGATAGGTGATAGTTGATTGCTTCCATAAGCGGTTCTAGACGGTTTTGGAGGCTCACCCCTTCCCCCGTTCCAAAACAACAACAACATTACGAAGCACATTTAGAAAATGAATTCGAGAACCCTAAATTCCGTCATAGCCCCTCACCAAGCCCCCCCCTACGAAAAAGAAGGAACATTGATTTAGAACCGCTCATGATGGCATGTTTATTTCCAATTTAATTAACCTGATAAGTACTTGAGTTGTAGAGGTAGTAACGAAAATAGCCGGGCTAGTAGTGGTAGTGACTGTAAGTACCTTTGTAGTATCCATTACTAAGGAGTATTTAAAAAAAAAAAAAAAAATTGAGGGGGGGGGGGGGGGTTTACCCCCAAAACACCCCCCCCCCCTGCGTAGACGCCTGCTGTCACTCCTCGGAACAGATCTACGCCACTGCCATCATACACATCAGCCATGCCATTTGACTAGCTATCGGACGACCCTTGGTGTCGAATCCTCTCAATGTATGATCCTTGGTTGAGCACAGCGGAGGAGCAGTCACGTTTCCTCATAAGGCAATGAACGATGCTGGAGGGCGGACACGCATTCCTGGTTGTCCCCTGCGCTCTGTTTCCATTACCTCGTCGAATGGGAGTTCGCTGCTCGCTTAATGGACGTCATAGAGCTCGACATTTTAGGTGACTGGAGCACATCCAAAGGTAAAATACTAGGAAAGATATACATGTATGATGAATAATAATTACTTACTGAAATACGTTTATATATAGCCTAATGATAATTGATGCGTGTGTTTACATGAATTTGCCTACAACAATTATCGAACGTATATTTTGTGCTTAGCATTTCTGGATGAAATAGGTCCTGTGCGTGTGGTTTAATATGAGTGGTGGATGCATATGATAAAGAATTCATGCAGCTAGTGTACAAATTAATGTTTAAATATACAAATATCCTTGTATCTCACCTAGGTTGTATGTCGATTTCTTATTTTTCTCAGAGGAGGAGGCAGGCCTATTCTGGCGACACCAATAAGGACAATAAAATAACTATAACATCAACAACAGCAACAAGGATAACAGCATACAATTTTCTTGTGCATTGCCCAGGAGAAAATGAAAGATATACCCTCTATAATTAAATAATTTTGTTCCCCTCACAGTCCGTTACAAGATTGTAAATGTATATCACATGATGTTACAATTGCAATATATACCATACTCTGGATTCTACCAATCGAGTTGCGCAACAGCGATGCATGGCAGACATCGTGTTATCTTTCCCTCCCTCATTTTTAGAATGATTATACCCAGAAGATCACACCAATACCTTTGACAGAATAAGAATACAAGTACTGGGGAGTGTTTCACAAAGACTAAGATCGACTTTAAGTCGGACTTAGCTATGGCAGGCTGTTCATGCCACTGGTTGCTCTCACCACTGCCCTCACCATTATGATATTTAGATATATATATTTTTCTTCAATAATGAACTACCAATAAAGGTAAATTCTGTAGATTGGTGACCACGATTTGTACGTCCCTTGAGAAACCAATGCCATGAATGGGTAGAGGAACTAGTGGTATGAACAGCCTGCCATAGTCCAACTTAAAGTCAATCTTAGCCTTTGTGAAACACTCCCCAGTACTTGTATTCTTATTCTGTTTACAGTCCAGGCTGCGATTTAATTGAGTGATCCAGTATAAAGGTGTAACAAACATGCTTTATTGTTATGAGACATGGTAGATAAAGAAGACGCTGAAAAACAACAGTGCTCTAGCACAACATTACAATCATTTTAGCCCTCCCCCCGAAGAAAAAACACAAAAGAACAAAATTAGGTCGAGGGTAGCATGGATTCATTATTATGTAATAGTTTGTCGTTTCTAAGGAAACCATTCCATACACGTTTCCAAAGTCCATTGGGCGTGTTTACGCTCCCTGTGGCCTGTAGACCCCCACAGAGCTGAAAAGGAAATCACTTTGTCGTTTACATATTAAAGATAAAGACCAGTTATGGTCATGCGATTGCATTGTGAAAGAAACGTTGTGGAATCGATCAGAAAAGGTTGATCATCTAGCATATAAGTATTGGTGTGTACTGCAAGGTTCTGGAATCATCAAAATGATAAGAAATTTGGCCCAGTCTTCGTAAAGTTACAAGCACTGTACATAGACAGATGTATATGGGACACGTGCGTTTATCTCTCACAGTCCAATAGATAAACTAATTTACCAAATATATCAATAAGTAGGCGGTTTCCCGGCAAATGTTTTATCATCATGTATTAGTCAAAACACATTCTTTCACATGATTGGTAATAAGAGCTTCCATTTCATTTTTTGAAATTGGGGCGTTTCCAATACTGGTCTTTACCTTTAAGGTCTCCAGAGATTGCTTGTGCAAAGAAGAACCACGACTTCAAAATGTAAATATAGAGTGTGAACCATTCACACTTTAAAGATAATGCTGACTGCTGTCAATGTGATTCGATTGTGAAAGAAACAGTGTGCATGGAAGCGATCAGGGGAGGTTTATCTGGTTTGGGTAAGAATTGATGTATTGTATGACGATCTGAAATGATCAAATTGAAACGAGATTGACTCGATTGAGCTCAAAATCATATGTACTAGCTACAGAAATACGTATATGGCACTAAATGCGCAATCCTGGGGGTGTCTCACAAAGATTAAGATTGACTTTAAGTTTGTGAAACACTCCCCTGGCATGAAATTTTGGTCCAAACTATTTTGATTATTTCTTCCAGGGTATTTCTCTACCAAGGCACGACTATTTTTCGGCTTTACCAGATCTCAACCTTTACTTTAAAAAAAAGGTGTCGAACACAGAGTTTAAGATCATTCCTCAAAACAACATGGATAAGGCTAATGACGAGAGTATCGAATTTTTATTTTATAGCTGAGACTCATTGCTTCAATGTTTATGGTTTATCTTTGAACATGTAGCATAAAAACAAAATAAATTTATTGACTCAAGAAAATTACATATTTATTTAAGAAATAGTGTTTCGCTATTGAACATTGTGTTGTGGGTAAAGGAAATGTGTAAATTAAAAATCAAGAAATCGTGTATAAAGTTATAAAAATTAATAATAATGATATAAAAAATAATGACTTGGGTGTTTTATTCATTTGATGACACCAAATCACATTATACCTTAGTATCCAGTCAGCTCATGTTTTGAAGATGATTATGAAGAGATTAGGTGGGGTATGTAAACATGTGTTATGAGTGTTATTATGGTCGATTTCTTATTTGCTTTACCTCATCTATTGTCCTTTACGATTTTAGAAGAACTCGGGAAGCAATTGTATTAGTTTATTTAACTCAGAGAGTGCCCTTTAAATGATTGAAAATATTTCGGCAAACCTGTCGTAGAATTCGGACCGAGAACACACCCCATCCAAAATGGTCTAGTGCTTTCCCAGTTGATATGAAATGAAGTCATACGATCTAATTTCTAAAGTTATGGACTATTCTGTTATTTAACATAAACTCGAAGAGCTGTCATTTTAGGACACCAGTGGCGGATTTAGGTGAAGGGAGCGCAACCGGTCAGTGCCCCCTTTTATCAAAGGGGAAGTCCAAACTGATATTAAGTTGGTTTGAATAGAAGTAGAAAATGAGAGAAACACGTCAGTGAAAGTTTGAGCAAAAGCCGATTAAAAGTAAGAAAGTTATAAATATTTGAAAGTGCGAAGTTCACAAATTGGCAAAACTGTGACGTATCTTGCGAGGTCCCCTCTCATTTGCCCTGTAGTAAAAAAAAGTTCAAAAATTTATATTTTCCCTTAAGAAAATGATCAATCATACATTCACCCTAAATCCAATAAGTGCTAATATGTTTTTATCCATCTCCTGTAAGAAACAAGTTTTTCTCGTCATGAATAACTAAGAAAATAAAAGTTTATACAATTTTCTAAACAGAGCAAATTGGGGAGGAGCTCGCAAAATGCGTAACAGTGTCGCCAATTTGTGTTTCACAAATGACAACTTTAAAAATACTTTCCTGCTTTAATCGGATGTTGTTTAGCTAATTTTTCTGCTTTTATTTAAACTAAGATGATATCAGGATGGAATTCCCCTTAAAAACTCAAATGACATACCTTCTGAATACACAAGTCCGAAATTGTGTCCTCCTTTTATATTGGAGGTGATAACCAAACTTTTCCGATTTGTCAGAGATTTTGTTTTCTTATTCTAAAAAGGACCTTAAAATCAGAACGATTGTGCCTTTTCTGTTTTAGCTTATTAGCACATATTGGCCCTCTCTATTGCGAAATCTTGGATCCGCCCCTGAAAAATACCATGATCGCTGCCTTTTGTGCTCGTCCAAAAGATATACACTGTCAAGGAAATACCTGTCTGTGTTTTACAAGCCAATGCGTTCCTTTGACACTGTGACTCCTTAACAATCCTAATCCATTGGGATGGGGGCTAAAGAGAGGGGGAATAAGTTCGTCGACTTAAAACGCCTCTATGGAATTCGAATGAATGACATTCATGTTGTGGTGTTGATTGATCCATTGAACAATTGAATGTTTTATGAGCTGCACGGTGACATTGATGATGTGTGGGACTGCACGTATGTTTGACGCGGTGAGGTCGTTTAGCCCACTTTCTCTGAAACTCAAGAAAATTATAAATATACCTGTACGTGTGAATAATTTATATTCAGGGCAGTCACTGGTGAGGTAACCTCCCGCAGAGCCACTTCAGATCACAGAAACAAAGTTAGGAATGCTAGGAAGCTTTATGGGAGGAATTTCATAAGAAAGATTTTTTTCTTCCCAATATTAGATTTATATATTTGTATGACCCAACGGTTTTCATTGATTCTCATTGAGGTCCGACTCAGAAAAAACGAGTAAACCTCTTTACAGGAATTCTAATCACGAGAAAATATTATAAATATATAACACGATCTTAGAGTTTAAAACATTTATAATCCGTTACAATAACCTTCTGCGTCACTTTCTGAAATATGCAAACATTATAATGACATGTATTAACACCGGACATGATTTATGCAGTTTAATGTCCAATGCATATCCCTTTTATCGTTTATACTATTTGCTGACGAAATCAAACATATCGAACTGGTTTAAAATTAATACATCATCTCTTATTATTATTAATAACCCTACTCGGAATTCATTAAACTTTCATTTTATAAATCATTGAATCTGTATAAATCAATAAGACATCATGTTCCAGATTTATGGAATGCACTCCCAGGCTCAATAAATTCATGTAAAACCCCAAAATTATTTGAATTCATACGAAGAAAGCATTTCTATCGGAGTATATTGTTTGATCTTTTCCGTATGTTAAATTAATATTCAATATCATTTTCAGATCCCTATAAAACATCCATCACTATATTTTATAACTCCCGTGTAACTTATATAAGTTTTCATTTTCATTTTCACCATCATCATTTTCATCAACATCATCACCTTCACCAGTTTTTGTTGTAATTATACCTTCGTTATCATCACCCCCTCCGGGCTATCATGCTATCAAGCAATCGCTTATTGCAATAGCCCATCTTCTTCTGCAACTTTCTTGTTGAATTATTCTTGGTATTGTGTGATGTCATTATTTCGTATTAGTATATTGTATACACAATCAACAAACTTGTTATATTGCTGAAATGGAATTTGATTTATATGTTGCAGAAGAAAATTAATTCAATTCAATTCAATTCAAAATATTATTTTTATCTTTTCATTTTTGTTTCATCTTATTTAAGGTCCTTCACTACAATGTCTGTTGAGGATGTCATCGATGCTATAAACGAAGGCTCGACAGCGGAAGAGATCAAACATTTAATCAACGAGTACAAAATCGATGTTGACGAATCCGTGGGCGAGCTACGATTACGTGCAATCCACCATTCTGTATTCAAAGACAGACTGGACTGCGTCAAGCTTTTCCTCAGTCATGGATGTGATATCAACGCACGGGACCAGTGCGGGTTTACGCCTTTACACATCGCCGCAAGGTACAACCGTGCTGACATGGCGAATGAATTGATTACACTCGGTGCGCACATCGATGCGGAGGATTCTCTAGGGTGCGCGCCACTTCACCATGCCTTGCAGAAGGGTCACGTCAACTGCTCCGAGATACTACTGCAACATGGAGCAGAACCGAATACGTTCTACAAGACGATCGGGTATGAGATCCATGCCTTACCTGGGATATATTCAGACTGCTTGGAGTTGTTGCTAAGCTACGGTGCCGATCCGGATGTTCGAGATACGCAAGGGTTCGTACCGTTACATCATGCGACGCGAGCGCGGAATAAACTCTACGTGTACATTCTTCTAAAAAATGGCGCAGACCCTGATGTACTGACGCAGGCTACTTCACCTGAGTTGCAAGGCAAGACAGCATTGCAGATTGCAGTCTTTACTCCATGCAAGAGCATCATTGAGCTCCTGCTTCTCTATGGCGCTGATCCAAATTGCAAGGACGAACATCGCAATACACCACTTCATCATGTGGCCGTCCGAGGCGATATCGAGATCGCTAAATTGCTGATAGAGCACGGCGCCATTCTCACTGTGCGTAACTCGCTTCGGTATCATCCTCTTCACAGAGCATGCGGAGCTGGGCCCAGCCCAGAAATGATCGAACTGCTCCTCGAAAATGGTGCTTTCGTCAACTCAACAACGTCACTTCTAGAAACACCAGCAAAGTGTTTGCTTTTCTATTGGCAACAGACCAACGAGGATACCAACAATAATAGTGACAGTGAGGACAAACCCGAAATGAGAGACCGAGACGATCGATGTGTCCAGCAACTGTTGCGCCTTCTAGATTATGGGGCACGGATTACAGTAAGCAACTGTCAACTCGACCCTTTCAGTGTTCTTAAGCTATTGCCGTCTTTCTCGATAATGAAACATACACGTTACTTGTTGCTGGAAGCCTCTGTGGACACCAATCTCCTCAACCAAGTAGGCAAGATACCAAAGGAATACAAGACCGCAGAGTTCCAGGACCTTTTGGGGAGAGCGACCAACCCAGTTTCGCTGCGCCAGGCGTGCAGACGAACCATCAGGAAAGTACTAGGAAAGAGAAATCTCCCAGAGGCAGTGAAAAAATTGCAGGTGCCGGCCATCTTGCAGGCGTATTTGATTTTCCGATAATACTGTATTAGATCAATAACAGAATTGCATATCAAGAATCTGCTAGGAAAATAATCGGGATAATATACAAGTGGAGTCAAATGTGAAGCTTAATTCTCAACACAGACATAACAGAAGGTAAGATTAGATGCCTGATGAATGCATAGCCGCAGAGTTCCAAGACATTTGTGCCTGCACCAGATTTCACTGCACCAGGCGTGCAGACGAGTCTCCATGAAAGAATTAGGAAAAAGAAGTCTTCCATAAGCAGTGAGGAAGTAACGGGTGCCGGCTTTCTTGTAAGCGTATTAGATTTTCTGATCATATTAGATCATAATTATGAGATTTCGCAGTCCAATATTAAATACCAATAAAACCGTAATAGATTTATTGATGACATTGAGACTATACGACTAGGAAACACTTATGTACAGCTTTTGAAAATAAAAATTGTTATTCAAAACATACGAGTGCTTCATATCTTCTCTTCATTATCCCCTCCTTATTGTTCAATTCAAATTCTATGTTATATGTTACTGGAATCTCAGAACACAGTTCTATAATTCTCTGTCCTATTATACATGTAAGATATTTATTTTGTGTATTAAATTATTAAATCCTCGGTCTGAGACCATACTTTACCCTTATTCGTTTTTGTTTTAGTTTGAAATCAAGGCAATACTCGAAGTACATATATACGATGAAAACCAACACTTGTGAACGACAACATACAAGTGTTATAATGGAAAGAATTAGCACTTCGTGATAGGTTTTCTTTTCAGTGGACCAATTCACAATTTTATTTATTTCTCACTAATCAGCAAATTGAATAAAGATTGAGAAATTGTAACTCCTTCTTTAGATCGAGAAATCATAATTTACGAGTTTTAATTTAGTTAAGTTGAATTCGATACAACGCATTTCGGATAAACATGTACCTGCAATAAAACAAAAAATAACACAAAACAAAGACAACGAAATAAAATAACACAAAAAATGCATATTTAAAAAAAAAAAAGCACGACAACAAGTCAAAAGAAAGACAAAATAAATGTCGATAAGTTGGACTTGACACGCCTTTTCTGTCCTCTGTGTCAGTATAAATATTATGTGATTAAGGTGGCAGCTGTCACGACGTAAGTGTCAACGATAACAAGAAAAGTACGTGCCCAGGGTAACTCCCCTATGGCTTACGACCCTACGTGTCTCTTCAGTCGTAGGACCGACATCTGACTTCAACTAGTGTTCCTTGTGCTCCTGCTTATTTATATTTTTTCTTGATATCTACTTTCCTCAAGATCACTGACCGTTTCACACCTTTAATTAAGAGATGTAAAGTATTAGAGGTGAGGAAGTGGAGAAATAGAGTGAGTGAGATAGAAAGGAGAAAGGAAAGAGAAAGAAGAGAGTTGGAATGAGTGACAAGTGGAGAGAGAGAGAGAGAGAGAGCGACATAAAGAAAAATAGAGCGAAAGAGAGAGAGAGAGAGAGAGATCATCATCATCACAGGACATCAAAACATGGAAAGAAAAGGATTTCAAGTATGCCAAGAAAGGTGGACTAGCTGTAAGGAGACTGTTCCTCTACGTCACAAGGTCATACCATTGGCGGATCCAAAGGGGAACGCCCCCGGCCTAAAAGGAAGAAAAAACACGGGAATGAAGGGAGAAGAAAAAAAGCAAGATCTAATAACTCTCTTTTGCTTGATTGGTTGGTCGGAGATTATCTAAAAACGAAACATCAACAATCTGACGAACTTTTCTCTTTCATGTCACAAAATTTTAGATCTTGCGCCCTCCCCCTTGCTAAAGAAGCCTGGATCAGCCACTGCACAAAACATCATATCATATTGAATATTGAATAACATATTGAACACGAACCTGTCAGCGTCACATCAAGTGTCGCCCTAAACCTCTCTCGCGTGTAAATTGATTTAAACTACGTGTTCAATTACCCTTCCTCTAAAGGGAGTCAAATCGCAATGTGACAACAATATATTCTTTTTGGGGGCGGTGAGGTAAAGAGAAATGCGACAAACATGAAGGAGAGAAAGAGAAAGAGAAAGAGAGAGAGAGAGAGAGAGAGAGAGAGAGAGAAAGAGAGAGAAAAAGAAAGAGAGAGATAGAAGAGAGAGAGAGAGAGAGAGAGAGGGAGAGGGAGAGGGAGAGAGGGAGATATTTCAATAAAAAAACATGTCAAAGTATATAATTATTATTACACACATTTTTCTTTTGGGTATATTGGTAGGCCGATAGGCGGCGTTAAATTCCTCTCTAAAGCTTGTCAACAAAGAAAACCATAAAATACAAATGTTTGATATAACTTTATTTTAAATATTTTGGTGCCCATAAGTTTAAACCTCTTTTCATGAAGTGAACTATGATTGATTCTTGATAGATAGAGTTTACATCTTCTCAGAACTTTATTGATCATAGAGATTGATCAATAAAGTTCTAAAAATTTCGTCTAAAGAGAATAATTATTGTCATAATTGTATCTTGAAAAGAGGTCAGAACAAATATTTTTTATGGGTAAAGGTGTAGTGTAGACAATACTCGAACGATGTATAAAACAGCAATTTTTAAAGATATACAAGGGTAGTCTCTCCTTGCACACTACAGAACGTTTGGTACGGTGTAGTAAAAATAATACTTGAAGGATGTAATAAAAACAGAAATAAACCACATTTTCCCCTCAAAGGAGAACAGAAGCATCTGCAAGAACTTACGTATAGTTCATAGTTCATAGTTCATTTTATTTCTTCTTTCACACATATTTGTACATAGAATTTCAAATAAAGTAACTGGAACAGCAGGTTATCAATATAACAAACATAATTTGAAGTGCAATAGTAATGTTCATTGTACAACTCTTTAAAAAAGTTACTTATGTAAGATTATGTTCCGTACATGAAAGAAAGAGGATACCTTATAGAAGCTAGGCTTGTTAGGGCAAGGTCCCCAAACAGAATATTCTTCAGGCCTGTTTCCACAATGAGGACATGCAACATTTAGAATGGCCTGGCTGAAGTCGGGTTGATTTAACATACATCTGTCATGGACCATGTTAACTCCCTACTAACGAGAAGCGAAGTCAGCAAGCATTTTTCTCACGACATTTTCACCATTCTACAGACACGCGGTGTCCCTGTGGAGATGTGCTGCACCACCAAAGATCGGATGACACATTGAATTTGGAGCAACAAATGAAAGAAAAATATGTTTTTCATGTATGATGTATTCCCACTACAACATCAACCAGTTCTTCTCTGGTCAGTCAGTATGTCTGCCTCTTGTTACAAATCTTAACTATTGTCAATCATACATATTCATAATCGTAATCAGTTGGTGAATAGGATTTTCAATAAACCACCATAGTCGTGGTCAAAATTTACTTGTTTTTTGTTGATATTTTTCTGTTTTGAGTATTCATGTGATTTGGTGAGGTAAGAAGGGGGTCCTTGCATAATGTAAAACCATATCGCTATAATACTCTGTTTTTCTCTATATGTCTCCCTTTTCTCCCGTCTTTCTCTCTCTCTCTTTCATGTATGAGTTTGTCTGATTTTTTAAAACCACATTTCATCTCCTTTTTTCACAAATCTTTTTTTCAACCCTCCGTCATACACTGTTAAATTATTTTGTGAAAAATAGAACTAATCCCTTAGTAAAACTGACTTTAAAAATAGAAACACAAATAAGATGACCAAAATATGGCCAAGAATCTGACATTAGAACCAAGATTTACTGCTCATGCAGGGGCGTCTCGAAGTCATTCTGAATAAGGTCATTTTACCAAATTCGCCGACAAGTTAGCCAAGGACGTTTCAACAAATAATACAATAAATAAATGAATGAATAAATAAATAAATAAAAGAATAAACAAATAAATAAATAAATAAAAAAATAAACAAACAAATAAATAAATAAAAGAATAAACAAACAAATAAATACATAAATGAATAAACATAGAAAGAAACAAGGACAGAAAAATATCCTCAAATGCTGAAATACCTTGAAAAGAGGAATGTCCAGATCTTCCAACCTTGCCAACTTCAGTTTTAAATGGGGGGGGGGGGGGGGAGGGGGGATTCCCCAAACGCCCCTTCAGCGACTCCCTAGTAATGCCATCTTACCCCTCGTTGGTAATGCATCCTCCCTGTCTGCCAAGTCAGAGTGGGGAGCGTAAATGAGAGATGACGAGTCAACTTGGTGGATTCATTTCTTTTCATCAAGCTTTAATTCTTCAGGCAGTCTAGAGTAATGCCAAGGGAATGTCTGAATCTCTGGCTTGGGAATCAGTCATCTGCAAATCCGCACTATGCCATTCCTGATGTAGCTGACAACGTTTTATTTTGATGGAAGATGCAGACCGTGTCCTTGTTGGCTTGGGGTGGGGATTATTGGGGTTCAAGTTTTTATTATAATGTTCTAACTTTTGAAATTAATTAGAAGAGCAGAAGAGCTAGGTTAAAGTAATACGATTTTAGACTACAACACAGATTTGCTGAAACTGCAATTTTTAATTTGAGGGGCAGGATGAGGTAGGGGGGGGGGGGGGTAGGCACATCCACTGCCAGCGATGCTTAGTGGTTGTATCTTGTAACATCTATTCTCCTACATTGTAATCATTTTTGTATTCCATCCTCTTCATCCTTCACGCAATTAAAAAGAAAAAGATTTTATCTACCGTAACGACGGTACACGCCTCTGATATCCTATTATGTTATTATAACATGCCTATCATTGATCATGCGACGTAACATGCAAATGTTCATTTTTATAACCCAGTGTTATTAGAGCGGGAATAATTCGTCATTAAATTCCTGTGAAGAATTCAAACAAAATTAAGATTGACGTTAATTCCCAACCCCGTTCCTTGTTTACCGATCGTCCTTACATGGTTTTGAAATTGTATTTTCTTCCTTCTCGCCTCAGCCCTCTGAATACGCTGGAATAACTGTTACCGAAGTCTGAAGTATCTTAACACGGGAATCAATTCAGAAGAAGCGACGAAGTTACAGCTCACGTCCTGGCCAAACAATCAGCCGAAACAAGACGAAATAGGAACTGACAACCAATCTATCTGAGCTAGACGCTCTCCTCAAGTAATATCAATTGAACGGAATATAGAACGTGACGGTATACAATAACACGCATTGCACGTATTTGTCATGGAATTCCATCACTTTTGCGGGGTAGGGGGGCATCATGACTTGCATACTGTAGGGGGAGGGGGGATGGGGACTGATCCTCATTTAAAATCCATGCCTTAGCTTACCCCCATGCGCATGCCAAGTTATTCAGTTTTATGTATTTTTTGTTCTCTATGCCCACAATATTTCCCCCTGTCCTTAGATTTAGGCCTACCAGTACCAACACACCCGGTTTTTTTTTAAATCCTGGTGTAGACAATGTGACTGTTAAAGTTTGCTACTTTACCCATTGATTACCCACTTACAGTTAACAACTGAAGTTCGTTAATTTTTAAAGTATTTTTTCCAATTTAAGTTTTTTAAAGTATTCTACGTAGCCCTTGACTCAACCAGTCAAAATTTCATTGTATGGTAACAAAAAAACACACAAAAAGCCCTCAAATTTGCAAGGGGTATGAATAACTTAGTTAATAACAGGGGAGTAATCAATGCCTGTCACATCGAAGTAATGGTTTGCGACTCCTGCAACCCTAGCCAGCGACCCAATGGTTCTCGTTCAGCAAAGTACACTACTGCCCTCTAGTGAGCATTTTATACAACGACAAAGTCTCTGCTTCCAACGTAAGGGAACTCACCCAGAATGTTATTATGCATTAACATAAATACTTTTTATTAACAAAACCAGCTACTAAATT